GTTCCATAGCAAAGTTTTGAAACTTTTGAAATGAGTTGGGTTTCTATCAAAGTTGTTGGAGAATACGAGTCCATTAATAAATAAAGTTAAACCTGGTCCGGGGTAATCTGTTCCTTTCTTTAAACCAAAAACTTTTTAACCCACCTTTTAAAATAATGTCGAGGGTCATGAGGCAGAGTTACTATCGTGGTATTATCATAATTAACTTCACTGGGAATAGTTTTCAGTGTATAAAAAGTGCGTGGTGGGTATCTTTATTTTTCATTTAGCGAACAGGTACCTTGTTGTTCATTTTTTTTTATCGCTGCGTTTGAATTTCAGGGTGTGTTTGAAATTTTGTATTTTTCGTTGCACCTACGCCCACTGCCCTCGACACCGTTGCGAATGTTAAACATCTCCTCTCTTTTTCAACTTCATGATGGTGAAATTGATTTTTTTTTTTGTTTTTTTTTTTAATTTTGGAACTTGGCTGTCTCTTCTGCTGTAGTCCCGTTGATGATGCTTAACATGTAATTATTTTATTTGGATTTTGGAATTTTATCGGTATTTATGCACACAACGCATATCCAAATGCGAATAAGTATGCAGTCGCATGTGAGTCTGTGGTTAAGATGTTGTACCTTCGTCCGCATCTGACTGACGTACACAATTGCCAAATAATAAATAATTAGTGTTTTGTGATGCATCACTGATATGCTGCATCTTTGGGGCGCGTACACACATGGGCGGTTTTGTGTTGACGTGATGTTTACAAAGAATCTTTTTCCTTCGTTTCCTTTCGTTTCATTTAATATGCTCGACATCTTCACATGACGCTCTTAATCAAATATTTACTTTAAAGTTTGTAATCATTTTGTTCTAATTTTTTTTATTTATTTACTTAAATATTATTAATCCTACTGAATTAAGAACGGAAGAAAGGAATTTTCAAGCGAAAATTTGACTGCCTACTTGAGTTGCACCGACAGAGAAAGCCGATGCGTCCGTCGTCTGACCCATTTTTCTTTTTTTTTTGGATGCAGTCTTCAGCTCTAAAAAAGAATAAAAAAGGAAATCGAGAAGGATAACGGTTATTTTTATACAGAGATTTTGGAATTTATATTAAGTTATTAAAATGCAAAATATAATTTTTATGCACGTTGGTAGATTTTAATTAATGCCTTTTAATTAACATGAAATTGCACATGAAGGCATATCGAATATAAATAAAACATTATATTTGAAGGCAGCAATCAATAAAGACAGAATAATGGAGGTCTTCGCCAAAGCAGATACTTGCGTTGGAAAATATTTTTTAATATGTAAATTGACTTAATTTAATAAAATTTAATTTGCTAATTTATAACAAAAGTTTTGAAAGATGTTGTTTTAAAAAATTTGTGACATCTGCATCTATATTAATTCGGAAGTATAAAATACGTACGACTATTTAAATTGGTTTTTGCTGTTAACTATTACTGCCCAAGAAAATATTGTCTGTAATAATCTTGCAATCTGTACAATCTAATATCTGCAAAAATAAAAAAATAATGTATGTAAATGCTTAGGCCGGAGTTGAGGTACTCAAAAGTGCTAAGTAAAAACACAACTATCTCTCAAGAAGAAATTTATATAATAGAGAAAAATGTGTGTATACCCTAACCTTGAAAGAAAGTATCAGAACCATAGCATTGCCTTTTCAACTGATAGCCAGACAGTAATAAAAACTAAAGGAAAGCTTTGAAAAGTTGAATGCCCTTAGCCAAAACAATCCGATATGGATCCTATGACGTGTCCAAGATAGCCTGGATTTTCCTGTACCGAATTTGGAGAAAAACGCGCAATAGCAATAGAACAACCTATTAGTCCCGAAACCAGTCTGTAGTTTGGAAGGAGGAAAAGGCTTTTCACCCATTCAAAAAAAAAAAGAGAAACAAAGTAAGCTACCAAGGCTATCGCTACCAAGACTTTTAACCTAAAATAATTTAACGATTGTATATAAATAAGAATTATTTAAGAATCTTTAAATTAATTTTGAGTGGCATTGTCAGTTTAACCATTAGTTCACAAAACTAGGAACTTTCCCTAAAAGAGCTTCCAAGAAAGTTATATTTTTTGTAGTAAAAAGAACAAGACCTCTTGCTGAAAGTTTGCCCGAGACTGATGCATAAATGACAGAAGTACCAGATGTACAATTCATATCGGGTAAAGAAATAAGACTCTGTAATGCAGGTTTAATACCACAATTTATAGATAAATTTGCATTTAAAAGAGCCGTAATAGATCTTTAGATTGCAAAGCAGTTTTCCCAACATAATAATAATAAAAAGATTATAGCTGATGTTCTTTATTCTGCAAGGTGATTAACATTTTCTATGATCAAGCCAGATATACTCTACTCGCGTATATAGTACGCGCTCAAAAAAGTGAGTTAATTATCTTTTATCTCATTTTAGAATTTTCTTTACCTTTTAAAATTTTGTTCACTTCTTAGAATATAGAATAAATACAGAATAAAAAATGTTCACTTGATTCACCATTCACATAAGTCAAAGTTCACGTCAACGAGGTAGTACTGTATAATTAGTATAATAATTAATTTATTATAGTGTTAAAAATATGAAACATTTAAAATTATAGGAACGCTAAACGAATGAACTGGATTATTTATAATATATAATTTGCAAACAAATTCTAAAGCCAATAGGTCTTATGATGCACAAATTTGTGGCTGTGCCACCCAGTGCAATATGTTATTAACATAATTCAATGGTCTCAAAATAATATTCTTGAAATATTATTGACGCTCCATGGTACGTTCGTAGTGTCGATATTCACTGAGGACTTAACAACTTAACTGAGAAAACTAAAGAGCAAGTAGAAGCTCAATGTATATGCCTCCAGAGGTTTGCAAGCGAAGAAGCTAGCAGGCTTCCTAATACCATAGGCTTTCTTGAAGGACTTTATCATAAGAAGCCAGATGACTCGATTGCTATATACCTTAAATAAGGGTTTTTAATAACTTTTAATAAAAGTATATAATGAGTGGTTATGTTAACAAAAATTTTTATGTGCTTTAATTTATATAAATTCATATAATATTCAATATAAATTGTACATACAATTATTTTTTTATATAAACTTTATTAATGGATGCATTTTACTCACATAACTTGTATTGAAGACTACTTCACGAGTAGATACACATATACTTCGATGTTGGCACATAATATTTTTACCATATTACTCGATTACAGAGTTTGTTATCTAGTCATTTAATATCATTAATAGCCTGAAAAATCACTTTTAAAACATATGTTCTCTGACATTGATTAGTGTTGCCAGAAATATGAACACCAACACTATCTAGTGACAAGAAATGGCAAATACTTTTTATGGACGTGTGCGAGTTAGGCTAAGTTGATGCTAAACCAAATGGGAGATTTTTTGGGATTTTTTGCACTGCACATATTTAGCCATTTATCAACACGTATTGACACATCACTACATTATCGGCACAACTTAGTATTTCCCTCATTTAGAACGCAACTTAGCCTAACTCGCACACGACCTATATTACCTAATATAATAATAGGTCTGTTACACGAGGTAATTGTAGTAAATCTAAAGTAAAACACAAGTGAAGTACAAATTGAGAGCGTAACAGAATTTAGGTGCTTAATTACATTTTTTAGACAGATTTTCATGGAATAGCTTTGTGTAAAATCTGATGAGAACATCAGTACCGCGCAAATGAACAATACAAAAAGTTAAATTCAAACCAAAACAGCTGATTCACACATCACATAAATTTTACTTGAAATAATAGGTCTGTTCCACGAGCTACTCATAGTAACTTTGAATAAACACTGTGTATACACAAGCGCGTTCCACCAGCAAATTTTCAAGTATTTTTGTGTAAATTTTATTTCTGTTTTACTCATGTTTTACTATGAGTAGCTCGTGGAACAGACCTAATATGTACGAGTAAATTCTGTGCAGCATTTTCAAATTTCGACAGGGATGTTACGCTCTCTCAGATACTCTTATTTACTCGAAAATTTGTGTTACGTAAAGTTACTACGAGTAGAACGTTGAACAGACCTAATATATCCAGCAAATGAATACATTATGCCATAAACTCTTAACTAAATTATAAATAACATGTAACTAATGATATACTTGCATAAAAAGAGAACTATGATAGCTAGTAAATTATATTAATAGGTGCATTCAGCACCTATTAATTATTTTTTAAAATATTTATTATCCAAAATTTTTAAATTTAAATGTGAAGAAAAATTGTAACTGTTATTAATTTAAAATAGAGTGAAAAATAATAATCCGCATATCTGAAATCCACTGAAGCTAATTAAACTACCAATCTTTATAGTTATAATCAATTTTTAAAATTGTACAGATACAAATAGTGTTTGAAGCACGTGATTTTTAACATTCAAAAAACATATGATTTTTTTAATTTGAGGCGATGTGAACACTTTCCATATTTACTTGAAAGAAATTTGACTGTCTGAACATAGTATATAACTAGTCATCTATTTAACTTCATTTTTATGTAATTTAGCCTACTCGAAATTTTGGTAAATACCAATATTCGCTGCCATACCGACATAATTAACTATTTCCCTCAATTTCTCATCAATTTACTCAAACTCACACACGGCCTTAATAATGCGTTATAAATGTCTTACGAATATTGATTAATTAATAATCTTTTTAATCACTATTAAAATAAAAATTGTTATTATTGCAGTTAATTTTTTTTCAAACTATTATTTGTACATCTTTGAAATGAGATTATCTGCATTCATAAATATTTAACAATCAATAAAATACTGACCTCCACTAGGGTTAATGTAAATAAAACTTTCAGTTGGGAACACTACAAATAAACAAAAACAAAACAACACTTCAACAAAATAAATGACGTGCACAAGTAATATTTTTTTTTTCTTGTGTTCTTTTTAAACAAAAGAAGAGCAAAAGAGAGCCCATACTTTTCTATAAATGAGATCAGTTTAAAAAATAACAACAATAACAACAACGACGGCAGTACGACGAACATACGCCAACCTATACTTTGGTTGTGCGAAATCATTTATTAAATAAGCACAGAACTTTTGTTCAGTCAACGCTCAACAGCTGACAAGTGCAAACGTTGGTGTGTATCGTTGGTAGGCAAGCACACAAGTGAAGTGGACCTCACGCAATACAACAACATCAAGAATATTAAAAGCAACTTTAACTTGCATAAAATATAATAAAATGGCAACTTTGATTAGAAAATTGATTTGCACCACCAACGCAGCTAAGCCAGTAGCGCCATACAAGTAAGTAAGATGCTCGCTCATATGCATACAATATGGAAATGTCTTCTCCTAGACGCAAGTGGCAGAGCATGGACATGCATACACAAACACACTCGCATATGTAATACCGGCATTATTGTGCTGATCTGATGCTGAAGAAAAGGTGTAAGCAGCAATGCAACAACAAAATGCGATAAAAATATGTTTTATTACAATAACAACGAGTGGCTTGAAGTTTGGTTTTGATATTAACTAATTGACAGTTGTCAAAATAAAACATTGAAGTTATTATTTTTGTTTATTTGAGCAGAGCAAAGATTTGTACTCACATTGTTGTTATGTTTGTTGCTATATTTTGCATTATTGTAAAATATGTATTGTTGTTATTGTAATTGTTATTGTTGTTTTGTTTTGTTTTGTTTTAGTCAAGCCGTTGTTGCTGATCGCACTGTATATGTGTCTGGTTGTTTGGGTTTGGATAAGAACACTATGCAACTTGTGGCAGGCGGTGCCGCTGAGCAGACTGAGATGGCCTTGAAGAATATGGAAGCTGTGCTTGTTGCTGCTGGCTCTGGCGTTGATAAAGTGGTCAAGAATACAATCTTCGTAAAAGATCTCAATGACTTCGGTACAGTGAACGAAGTCTACAAGAAAGGTAAGCATAACACTACTAGTAAAGTTTGCACTCTCAAATATATACATATGTATGTATAATTGTGCGTTGACTTGTTAAAATACACAGTAGCGCACTTTTCTTTGCCGGTTAATTTATTTCACTATTAATGTTTTCATATATATTTATATATTTAGCTATACCATCCTTTTAATGTGATTGTTTTTATATAATGCATATAATAACTTATTTTCTATTTTTAATAGTTATGTTAACATAACATAATTTTTCGCCCTATAAGTAGCAACAGTTTGTAGTTTCGCTCCTTTAGTGCATAATTTGCTATTGTAGAAGTGCATTACCTTTTATTTTTATTTAAATTTTTTTTTTGTTGTTTTTTAGTATAAATGTAAAATTTTCCGAATGTACCTATATATTTTTTTTTTTTTAATATTTTGTTTGTTTTTAACGATAAGCTACGAATTATAATATTCATTTATTTTTGACCCAAAAGCTAGCCATAGATTTGGGGCTGTTAACATGTCCAATGTTCTTATCACAGCAATTAATATTGACGACGGTGCTATTATGTTTTAGTTTGCCTATTTCTTCACAATTTTTCTTAAAGTTTTTTTTTTTTTTTATTTTTATTGAACTTTTGCTTTACGACATGATAAGACAAATTATTTTATTACATTTGTTTTATGCTCTTTTTGCACACATAAAAAAAGCATTTAAAATAAAGGAACTCTTTCAAATGTGATCTCTCCCTCTCTCTCTCTCGCACGCTCTCTCTATATTATAGGGGAGATTCGATTCTATTCCGTTGTTTATACGCTAATCATGTTATGAATTTCTTTTAATAGTGTTCTCAAAAGATTTCCCCGCACGTAGTTGCGTACAAGTTGCCCGCTTGCCTATGGACGCACTTGTTGAAATTGAATGTATTGCGCTGACTGGTGCCGTATCAACAGTTTCAGAATGACTGGAGGTTGACATGATTAGAGATAAAGACGCTGTTGACGACAGTAAACAAGCATTTAAAACTGCTGCAAAGTTATAAGTTTTCAATGTATATGAATATAATTATGTCAATTAAAAATAAATAGATTTGTTTCAATTTTTAATAAATTTTTAAATAAAAATTTTTATTTTTATTAAATGTTTAAAAAAAAGTTTTTATTAATTTTTACAAAATAATTTTAAGTTTTTATTATATTTTTAAAAAAAATTTTTAATGCATTTTTTATGAAAATTTTTCATGAATTTTTTATAAACATTTTTAATGATTTTTTTATAAAAATTCTTAATAAATTTTTAATAAAAATTCTTAATAAATTTTTAATAAAAATTCTTAATAAATTTTTTATAAAAATTCTTAATAAATTTTTAATAAAAATTCTTAATATATTTTTTATAAATTTTGAATAAAATTTTTTTAGTTTGTAATAAGTTTTTAAAATATTTTTATTAGATATTAAAAAAAAAATTTTTAATATCTAATAAAATTTTAAAAAAGTTAATTTATTTTTAAAAACAAAAATTTTGATTTTTAATCATATTTAAAAACTTTTTAATTAATTTTTAAAAAAAATATTTATTTTTAATCAATTAAAAAAAAAAAACTTAGTAAATTTTTTAATAATTTATTGTTTTAATGACCAAAAAATGTTTAATAATAATTTTGTTTTTTTACGGGCTAATTGGTCAATAGTTAAATAATAAACTTTTTAAAAAAATTTTATTTGTTTTTAAAAGATTTTATTTCAAATAAAATAAAAAATAATTTTATATATTAAAATTTTTTGAAATTCAACTTTTAAATTTTTTTAAACAAATTGAAATGTAAAAAATTATATTTTATAATTTTAATATAAATCAAATAATTTTCTTTTTACATTTATTAAAACAAAATTTTTTTTAATTCATTAAAAATTAAAAAAATATTTTCTAGGGGTTTTCGAATAACAAAGAAAGAAATAAAGGACAAACACAAAAATTTATTTTTAATTTTGTTGAAGTTTGGCTGACCATACAACGCTGTTTCGAGTATTGCCAAGTACTCTTCATCAGTGGTCTTTGGAAATAATCGAATTTTATTTAATTAGTTTATAGTCCGTATATAAAATTAAAAATAAATTTTTGTGTTTGTCCTTTATTTCTTTCTTTGTTATTCGAAAACCCCTCTAAAATTTAATAAAGCTTCTTTGTCACTATACAAAGAAAGTCTAGCTTTACAGCAACACTAATACTTTATTCAAAAATATTTTCTTTTAATTAAAAATTTAATTTTTGTTTATGATAAGCTTTTTATAAAAAATTTTTGCCTTAACTATTAAGAGCACTTAACTATTTGCTTTTAAGTTTTTTATTTTTAAATTTAACTTTTATTATTAAACCGTTTAGTGGAGAAGGGAGGAGCGGGGATTACTTTGGAATAAGAATGAATTGAGGGCTGAGTGGTACTCAAATTGAAGTCAATAAGGAAGGAGCCTAAGCACGTCTATGGTTTATATGGTCTATGGTGCATAATAATAGGTAAAGCCACAGTTAGGTTATACTATTATATCAATTGATATAAACATTGAGTAGTTACTTTACGTGAGCTTAAGTTTTATCTTAGAAGTACATCTACATCAACTATATTAGCTTTAAGCAGTGTTTAAAGTTCCACATGATAGAAATATTTTTTATCTTCCCAAATTGTTGAGGCCCCACAAAAATTTTAAGAGTATTCGCAACAACTTTGCACATTACATTTAAGATGTTCCAAGATTTCGTCTATTACTAGTTTTCTGCTCTTTTTCAATTTGCAGCTATTAGTAAGTCCTAACTTCTAGATCTCAGGGAGGTATATTAAGTTTGGCGAAATATTTTTAAAACTACAATAAAATAATTTAAAATAATAGACGCAAAAGGCCATATAAAATATTTGTATTCTAATTAACATGTTTTAAATACTGCGTCTCCATATATTTATCTATCAATGGTAATGTCTATATATCTATATATCTGCGTCGAATGTCCTTCTGTTTGTTGATATTAGTTGCTTTGAAATAATCGTATAAAAAAGTGTAAACTAAATAAGATAATTATTATTATTAATACTAATACTGGGTGTAAGTAATCCATTTGTGAGTTCTTCTAATAAATGTCAAATATTAAAAGTAGAGCTTATTCAAAATTGAGTCTAAGGTCCATACAGATAACTACTGTTAACAGTATTGATGATAGGGTATTGATAACAATTAATATTATTGTACTTGGAAATAAACTTAGCTGTCAGAGTTTTTATGATTCCCAGGCTGAAATAGGCTAGCGTGAAATATCAAAATGTAAAAATATTCCACCTAAAAATGAATCTCAAAATTTTTTGACTGTATCTACTTTTTATTCGTTTTTTTTTCAAATAAAATTTTATTGTGTTTTTCGCATCTGGACTTGGTCTTAACGGCGAGAACAACAATGGCATAAGTAGTTTTTTATGCATATAAGATTTGAACTTAACTAGGCACACCGAGAATGATGCACCGACTGGAATCGCAAAACTGTTCCAGAACAAATTTACATATGTGAACCAACGTATAATTGTGTTAACCATTTGGGAATGCCAGTTTGCCGGAACAACAATAATAATGATGACTGCAATTGTTGTTGATACAAAGTGCAGCAACATAAATAACAATAGCCAACGTTGTTAGTGAACGAAGTACAATAAAACAATGTCGTCGTGTATTGTAGTTTAAGATGCTGCAACATTGAGTTGGACACCCCCAAAACAATGTAACCAACGCTCCGAGGTGTAGGTTTCCACATTTTGTATAAGTAAAACAATCAACTTCAGTTCACCTTTTGCTGTTCACTTTTTAATCTACAATTGTTGGTAATCCCCGTCCGCTAGTTATTGCACTTGCAACCTAAATTTGGATAGATATGTATGAAATGATATTTATTTTTAAGAAAAATTAAGCGAAACTTTATAATTGGTGCATTTTGTGAACCAGTGTGACATATTATATAGGTATAAGCCCAGCAGTTAGTATTATATATTTATATTGATACATCAATATAACGACTCAACGACGGTTGAATGAGATTATGTGGTATTAAAACGGGTAAATAGGACCTACATGTTTAATGTGCTAGTTTAGTAAGTCGATGGCTATATTCACCTAACTACCTACCTTGACTAAAGAATCATCTCTGGATCTTAACTGAGATTCGCGCGAAATATCTTGTGAAATCCAAATTAACGTTAACTGTGTTATTACCGAATTGATTTTGTTGGGTCTGTCTGTGTATATGACTATTTGGTTGATTTTCATAAATAGTTATTTAGCTGAGTTGATTTTTTTTTCTTTTTTGAATTATGTTGAGTAATATATCGGATAACTAGCACTTAGTTCTTCCTGTACCGAAGTTTTTAATAAAAGATGGGAAAACTCAACGATATGCAGGCATCTGCATGCAATTTGATCTCATTCCAATAAAAAAAGTCTCCCATTGAGATGATAGAGAGAGAGAGAGAGAGAGAGAGAGAGAGATCAATCTTGTAATAGGTTTACTTTAAGGTCATTGTAACCATGTTAGGAGACTAAGTCTTTCTTTCAACCATATCTGCCGCAGTTGTGGAGAGGACAATGAAAGACAACAACGAGTCTCCGATCTTCTTTTTTCTTTACAGCCGCTTTATCACTTTAGGGGCTTTCTTTTTTGAGGATCTTGGAAAACTGAAGACTTCTCTCTAAATATCATTATAAGATTTGCCAAAGGTTCTAAGTGGTTCTAATCCTTCAGGTTTCAATTATACGGTAACACAATGGGCCTATAGGTCTTGCTGCTGTATCCCTTGGGATTGCTGGTATAACTTAACCTAACCTAATATTTCGCATAAGCTTTTCTAGATAGATATGAAGATCACTATATCCTGTAATATATATAAATCCATTTTTGTTAAATGGCATAAATTAAGCACTTGTTTTAAAAAGCCCTTGGAGATTTCTCTTCTCAGCTTTATGAAAGTGTGCATATGTAAAATTAAGTTCATTGCAAGTGTGTTTGGATGATTTTTTATGTCATGGACATATTACTCTATGATCTTTGGTTTTACTTCTTTGTTTGTTGTGACTAGGAACTGTTTATGTATCGTTTTAAATTGGAAATATTAGACTGTTGCTGAGATTTGTAGCTGCAGCAGTCTTTCATGGTTGTAGTCCATAGCTTCAAAAAATCATAAATTAGCAACCTTTTGTCAATTGATACTTAACTATTTCGGCTGAAGAAGGTCAATAATATACGGAACTTAAAACTCAAAATATTAACTCATAACGTATATTTGGTTTTGGCACATTATCACGAATTAGAAACATATTGTGAAATGGTAATTAAGTATTTTGGATGAAGACAGCCAATTAGTTTCGTAATTTGGTAGCTAAAACATTACGTTTGATGAATTTGTGGTTCTTTCTGATCAATATACTATCTAGCTGAATGCACAACTTTTGGATGCTTGAATACAAGTTCAGTGCAGAACTTCAATGCAGAAGTTTAAGCAGAGAATAAAAGTTTTTGACAAGTTCTTTATCTTACCGGTAATTTAACATCCAATAAGAGTTTTGTATCTTAGAATTGAACACCTAATATAATGGAGTTCATAAACTGTGTGTAAATTACTTTCACTTCTGTTGAATCAAGTTAACTTAAAACTATTATTAAACTACGTAAATATTCAATAAGCAATGTTAAATACCTGCAATTTAGTATCTGATTGCCTGAATTTGTTACTAACCTTCGACTGATAACTGTAATAGCTAAAAGTAGCAACCTGCTGCTTCAGCTGCAGTTGCATCGATTAAAAACTACAAACATTTTTTTATCCACAGGTAAATAAACTGATAACCGTAGAAATTACAATGAAATACGAGTACTTTGTATTGCATTCCAACTTTCGGTTGAATAGAGATGAGTCTATGGTCTTGCCAAATTGATGTACTCGTAGATACAAGTTACTTACTGGTTATACTTATGCACACATAGACGCGCTGCCCAAACAAAACAAACTTTGACTTGCATCTTCACGATTCACTTGAATCTAATAAACCTAATAATCCATTTTTAAAA